AAAAGCTGTGCACAGTTTTGAAAGAGTTTCAGTTAAACAAATCCATAAGTACTGGGGTAAGCACAGTGCTATCTGCTAAGAATGATTCTCATTTAATTCAGTCTAAATAATTGTTCTCTATTTGTCGTCCTTCATGTAAAGGGCCATACTTCACAACCTGTCAGTGATCATAGAGGGGTAAAGCAGACAAGGGATGATCCAGATGGCATGCATTTAGAAAAGAGAGGTTTCCAAGAGGCCAGACGATATGATGATGGTCCCAGAAGTTTCCAAGAATCCAGACAATATGGAGATGACCCTAGAATGTTTCGAGAAGTCCGACAAATTGGGGATGACCCCAGAGGTCTTAGAGAGACCAGACGTTATGAAGATGATTACAAAGAGTCAAAACGATTTGATGGTTATCCCAGTGGTCTTCAAGAAGCAAGGCCGTATGCCACTGATCCCAGAGGATTTCAAAAGGCGATGTTACAAGAGACCCCACGAGATCTTCCCCACGAGAGGAGACGTTATGATGAAGATCCTAGACAAAAGGAACAACATTTTGAAGAATATGCAAGAGCAGAAGCTCCAAGAAGTACTCAAGAGACAAGATATTATGAAGATGATTACAGAGGCTTTGGAAATTTGGATCCTGAAAGAAATTGGGAGCATCAGAAAGGACGTTCATTAGAGCATTTTGAGAACAGAGGCCCGGCAGATGTTGAGAGGGCTTTTCAAGGTAAATCATACATCCAATTTTTTCAAATGGTTTTATGGAAAACTAGTCTTCCTGAGGAGCAGATGACGAGGAATAACGTTGTGGTTACAGTGTTTTGAAGTGTTAAGAATTTGTACCAATTTTTGTATATAAAATCTTCTATATTGATTCTTCATGATTATCTTGCTTTCAGAGAGCTTTGGCAAGCCTCCTGTTCACTTCCAACCAACCTCTCTACAAGAAGAAGCAAGGATATATGCTGGGAGAGCACAGCAGAGGTCTCATCAGAGTGACCGTCACCCAGGCGATGAACCCTACGACCCGTTCCACCCATCATCCTCGCCACCTCCAGAAGCATCCAGCTCCACCAGTCTTGACAAGATTGCATCAACTCTTCTTGAGCTTGTGGCTCGTAGATAAAGTTAGGCTTATCAGTCAGATAGTTCATTATATAAGATGGTTATAGCTTAACAGTAGCCTACAGTGATTGGTCATCTTTATGTAAGTTCATACAAAATCTTCCAGTAAATGGAATACTGTTTTCATCCATACATACTGCTTATCCTCTGCAGGGTCACAGAGGGCTGGAGCTTATCCCAGCATCTCGGGGCTCCCACGCACACACATACACACTCTCCCATTCATACTGTTTTCAGTTACTACCTAAATTCTGACTGCTTTTAGTTTGTGCTTGTATCCTGCTTGCTATTGTTTTTTCAGTTTGGTTTGTGTACTATGAAACTGTAATGGGTTTTGTTCAAATGGTTTAATAAGAAAGATGATTGAAAATAAACAGTTCAACCTCATTTTAACTGTCCTTTTTTTATCAATTTTTTTATTTAATAAATTGACATTGGTTTTGATGTGTGGCGTATATACAATATAACGATGTAAGTTTTGTTGTTTTGTTTTTTTTTCCCAAACACATAGTGCCAAACCCTTAATAAACCCTAAATAAAGAAAATAATTGTGTGGGTTTTTTTCCCCCCCCAAAAATCCCAATATTGTAATATTGTGTGAAAAGCTGAACACAGAACTGGATTCAACTATCATATGAAAGTAGATTTTTAACTGTTGTTGGGACGAGTGTTTTTTTTTATATATATATATGTATTTTGTGACGTATTATGTGTTTTAAACTTATACGGTGTTTTATATATATATATATATATATAATTAATAATATTTAGAATAATGAAATACTGAGGTTAATCTTTTTATTTTGATTCAACAGACAGATAATAAGACAATAATAACGGTTACATTCAAAGCAAATGCATACATGCAATGCGCCGACCAGTTCAACCTCTTGCTGAACTGAAGAACGATCACATTCAATGGCGCTAAGGTTGAGTACGTCATAACGTAACGCTTCTTCCGGTTTAAAAAAAAAGTTGTCAAATCATCGGCCATCTTGGTTCCTGTAACAGCCTGAAATAAATTAAATATTACGACGAACCGCACTACACTACGATTTCATCACGTAAAGTGAGTATAAAAATTATATACTTTGCTGCGTTACTGTTCGGTTGCTATCTAACAGCTTGGTTTGGATGAAGCGGGTGTCGTTTTGGGCTCGTGGTCCAATAAAAGTTTTCATCCAATGGACGATTGTTTTGGAGTATGAACATAGGCGCCATTTCCCTCCTCGCTCTCTGAAGCGCTTATTGGTGGCTAGTGGAAGGGAATGGAGGCGGTCAGGAAACTGTTGGACATAGTTCGCCATTTTGGCTCTCTAGCGTAAAGGACTTTTATTGGCTCACTGGTTCGTTTTGAGCCTAAATGGTGGCAGTTTCTTAACTACCAGAACCCTTAGAAACCTTGATTGGTGGAATCTAGTCCGAGGTTTGATTGGTCTGAAGGACAGATCCAAACGTAGTCTTTATTGGTTAGACTCTCTTTACACCGCTTTACAAATATTTTAGGAAAACTCGCTCAAAGCCTTCCAAAACCTTCATTATTTCACTTCTCCTAATTTGACGGGATTCACAGTCAATGCGGCCTTCTAACGTAGCGAGCACTGTCTCTACCTTAATGTCGCTCTTTTTATAGTCCTTAGCTGTCCATACAATCTTACTGACTGATGTTTTGGGATGTAAATCATTCTCGCAATAAAAAATAAATCGGACACTGGGTTTCATCTATAACAATGTTACATACACACACACATATACTGAATGTTTGCATGGTTTCGGTTAGCATGTCTCCCGGTAGCCTGCAAATGCTTTGTCGACTTCGTTAATGAAAAAAGCATCTGTAATTTGTATCAATAATAGTGTTTATTAAGATTTATCAAAGGTTTAAGAAATACCTGTCCGTGTGTATAATTTATTCGCGATGGAATTTATTCCGTGTATTTTCATTTTGCAAAATGTGCCGATGGTGTCACCTTATTCATTGCATAAACAAATACGCTTCTAATTTGTCACCTATGAATGAACATATAAAACAAAATACTAACGTTATAATTATTATATTTAGTAAAAGCTGTAATTTAAGATGTAATTAACATAATTTTAATGTACCAGGTTAAATTGAGGTCAATTCGTAGCACACGAGCTCACTATTTACCCACGATTCATCAGTGAGAGTTTTAAAGCAAAATTATTGCTTATTGACCTTGATTTTACAAGAATTATAATGGCATTCATAGCAACTGTTGCCATAATCTTTCAGCACTTTTGCTGTAAATAATTTACCTGCTTTCCAGATGTATTTTATCAACAACAAAATATAGGAAGCATTGTGCTGCAGTTGTTGCTTTCGTTTTCATCTATACTGTCTGAAGCTTAGCCCTTATTTTGATGCTAATCTCTCACATAAGTAAAAAAGTCAAGTGTCTGTCCTCACTGGATGTCTCAGCAAAGAGTTGGCTCTTATAAAAAATATGAAATCTTAAATCTGCTGGGCATTGACTAGTTTTGGGCGGAAGGTGCGTAGGCCGTTTTGCATGTAGTGACATGAAGTTTCTGGAAATAAAGAGACTAATAAAGAATCAAGTGATGATGTATGATTGCATTAGCAAAATTTTGTGAGCAAAAAAGTCTATTGATGACAGTATGTAGATAGATTAATCTTAAGCAGACGTGACTTCAATCAAAATTCCAGATTGCATCGATTCCTATTTGAAATGACTGGATTTCTGGTGAAAATTTTTTTAATGTGAATTAGCTTAACAGTGGTAAATGTGACTGCACCATTTGTATGATTGTTGTACGAATAATCATAATTGAATTCAAAGTTAACAAATAAGCATAATTTTCGGTCACATGAGATTGTACTGTATGGTTACACTTATTAGAGGTGAAACCATTTAACATGACCCTTCAGGTCAACTTTATATTAATTTAGGACACAACTAACATTGAGTTCAAGTTCCATGTGGTGCACTGCATGCATGTTCCTGCACTCAAATGAGATTGCAAGTCTGACCTGAGTGACTTTCCACTTTAAATCATGCGGCTACAGCATGCGGCACCCTCTATGAGACCACCCTGAGCCAATCACTGTTCATGGGCTCATTTGCATCACTGCACGGCCAGCCACTCCGCTCCTCCAAGGGGCGGGCTTTAGAGACATTTAGTTTGACATTGTAAATAAGCAAGGGACAGTTGTTTGAGAAGTCAGTTGTTCAGTCCAGCTCCGTCCAGCCACAGTAGAGAAGACGGTCTGCAGGGGACAGCTTTTCAGAGGCTCGCAAAACGAGACGATCCTCCGCCATCCCTGCGTCCTTTATGCAACTTTCTGCTGCTTTTGTCTGGTTGTTTTTTCTCTCTCTCGTTCTTTTCATTCCCTGACCCCTATCTTGCTGCTCAAGGTAACTTAAAACAGGAAGTTGAGTGTCTGTGAAAGGGGGCGGAGTAGAGAGGGTAAGCAGGGAGGAGGGGGATGACATGTCCTAGAGACGCTGGCTAGGCCAATAGCAGCAGAGACCGACTCGGGCTCATTTGAAGAATCCAGCGAGGGGGTGGGATCTCGGAGATAGGCGGGCCGAGAGTATCGTTTAGCAAGCTAGATTGATTACAGTCGAGTGTTAAAGGGAAAGCAGTCAGGAGATTTTTGTCCCGACTTGTTCTACTGCTCTGCATTGCTCTCACACTTTTATTTCTTTTCATCCTTCCCTTTTTCTTTACCTCTCCCTCACTTTCTTGCCTGTTTTTCCGGTCACTCGTGCCGAAGCAGGGGTCAGCTGAAAGACAAACAGTAGGGTTGCCAGGCAGAGGCCAACTCCAGGCTCCAGGCGGCTTCAGGGGACTCGGACAGGAGAGGAATGGGAGGGGGTTGTGTGTTTAGGAATGGGGGGTGGCTCAAGAAGATGGGCTAGTGGAAGGGGGAGGGGTCGGATCAGGGGGCGGTAGGTGATCACGCTCCCCTCGGCTCGGGGTTTTGAACGCAGCAGCAGATCGCCTGTCCCGCACAGCCTTTTGTCTCCTCCTGGGACAGAGCCTGTGGGCTAAAGACAGTTAAGGAGACTTTCGAGATGTCCTCCTGTTCTCCACCGTCCACAGCGCGGCATATGAAGGGCACGGGGTAAGTGTGACTTACGACTGCAATCTGATGGAAAAGCTCTCTCCATCTCGCGCTGCAGTAATGGGATGCTTCCTCTGTTCTCCGCTGCACTTTTCTCCTCCTCCTTTCGTCCTCTACTTTTCCCCTTGCTTGAAATCTGAGTGTACTTCTTTGTGTTTCCTGTCCTGTTAATTTTGAAGTCCTTAACCTGACTACCAATGTTTGACATGATGTAAACATTAACCAGCTGGAAATTTCTCTGGTCTTGCATACGGAATTTTAACTTTCCATCGTTGATCTGCATGGTGTACTCTTTGATCGCAGTTGACCTCTAAGTTCAGTTCATTTAGTTTGACTTTGGACCTCTTGATGGTCCCGTGCTCTTGAGTATCTCTGGTACATCTGTGATGATTACAGAGACAGATAGAGATGATGGCCCTGGCTGCATAGGGCCGCTAGTCCCGGTTCACCTTTCAAGGCCCAGTTTTGTGGCTTGTTTACACTCTCGTGACAGTGAGGCAGAGCAGAGGACAGTATGGATGTGGGGTCTACGTGACCATCGTGGATTGGGGACTCTTAGCCCCCTAGTTCATCATGTACAGACGGCTGTCCTCACACGATGCCTCGTCACGGAATCCGGTCGGATTAAAGTCTCTTTTTCGCTCGTGTACTAGAAAGTTTCCATTAGTGATGGTATTAAGGTCCTTTTGGGGAATGGAGTTACTAAAAATAACTCTAGGTAGAGCCTTGACTGCTGCGTCTCAGCGTGATGTGTTCGGTTAAGATTTGAATATTATTTTAGCTCCTTACTGCACCAGTTTGCAAAGATGTTCAAGGGTAAAATGTCACCCCTGACTAAGGTTTTTGCACATTCCCTCTCGTTCCCGGGGTTTTGCGCTTGAGGTTGTTTTGAAATGTCAGTGCAGAACCTTTAAAGTTTGCAGTTGGCTTTTTGGTGCTGGCGTCGACACGTCGTCGCACCTTGCCGTTGCTAACGGGCCCATCAGTGGATGAAGGTCACAGGAATGTGAGAGCGGCTTCCGCATTCGATCCGTCAGTAGGGAGAGTGTGAGACCAAGAGGACAGTGCATCCCTCAGGGGCACACAGACAAGAGGGGGCCATTCACCATCATGCTTCTCTAGGGACGGCATCATTACACACAGTAGGGTCGCCAAGTTGCTGCAGTGATAGTTGAAAAACCTGTCTCCGTTTTCTTTCTTTTTGTGCTATAGTATATCCTGCACTCTCGCGCTCTCCCTCCCCCTAAACATTTTTTTTTTCCCCTTTCTGCTTACTGCCGAATGACCTTGAGAGTTCAGGGACGGCTTCCTGGAGTTGATGCGAGGCCGAACCAAGGGCAACTTTGGAATGATTGATCCATGAGATTAGACACGGATCAGAGTGGCGGTATTGTCTAGCCCCTATTTTTTATTTTTTTTGCTCCGAACATTAGAGCAAAACAAGCACGGCTATTTGTCGGTTCATTTGTAATTCATTGCCGGGTGCCTGGGTGCATTTTGTTGTGCCCGAGTCGATGATTAACCAGTAACTGCAGCAGGCTTTGTAAGTTTTTTTTTTTTTACCAGCTGGCCTTTCTGTGTGAATGTTTGGGTAGTTAATAACTCCAGAATGTAGCTATAGAAATGTGGCCTTTCTGTATGACAGAATGATCACAGAAAACATCTTGTGTTGTCTGTGTTCTGTACTTTTAATTATTTAGGCTGGTTTTGGTTCAGGGTCTTAAGTAGTATATTATAAAGAGTTTTATGTATGTTGTATAATAAAAAGAGTAAGTATGCTTACATGCACAGTTATACACAGGTTTTTGCGTAGTTGTAAATATGACGTAGTTTTTGCGTATTAGTATATGTGACACAATGCATAATATGTAATAAAAAGAGTTGTCAGTAAGTGCATTTGCATGTGCAGTTATAAGCAGGTTGATTATTTGAAGATTTAAATCCTTCTCACATAAATTGTAGTACAGTTAATGTATACACAGTCTCATTACCTGAGTCTGTATGACTTTGCAAAACCCTGACTGTTTTGATTTCAGTCTGACCAACGTGTTTAAATGACATTTTAAAAATTACACATTGTTTTAGTCTGACTAAAATCGAACTATAAAGTTTAACTAAATATATTTAAAAGTTTTGAAAAAATCTTTTTTCTTCCATTATTTTCTTCACCTATTCTTGAACATTTTTTTCCCTCTGGAATGCTCCGATGTCAGATAAGATTGAATTACCTCTATGTGCATTCACAGTTTGATATGCATTGAGATTCGGTATTCCTAAACTATGTAGAAGAGGCATGCTGGAAATGAGGGGTGTGAGCAAAATGGAGATGTATGACAGGATGTGGAGATAAGTATTACATTTTAACAGCGTCTCCAGTGGAAAGCGGTTTCTTCTCAAAAAGTTCAGTATGGACCTGTCAAACAAAAAAGCAGACTTTGAAATAAAGTTGATTGTTTTGTAGCTTTTTAAGTCCTGGCTGTTAAAATTAGGCTCATTCTAGAGGTGGGCTTCATGTTTGAGAAGTAGCTTGGCTCTCAAGTCAACACAACGGCTGGCATCCACAACCCTGTTATTGTCTTATCAGCACAGCTGATTTGAATCTCTCCAGCACGAGGAAGAGATTGTCCTAAATTTATATCTGCATCTTAGGAAACAGCCTAAACCGTAATATAAAAAGGCAATTGTTTTGCCAGTAGTAACTGTATGTGCAGTTCTTCTGTTGTGTTTGTGTCACAGCACTTTCTCCACTTATGATGACTCCTCCTTGGAGGCCTCAGGCCACACTTTCTCTAACCATTAAATATCTGGTGCACAACCATCTTAACTCATCTCTTGTCAAGGGGGTAATTTACGATATCTCAAGTGTTTGAGAACCGCTCGTCCCCGATCACATTGAAACATTCGAGCGTTCCTTTGCTGCAGTCCTCCTGCACGGCGAAAGCCAGGCTGGCAGTGATGTTCTTGCTGATTCAGCCTCTGCTAGCAGCATTGACTTTCTGAGACACAGAGCACCAGCGGTCATTGCCGTCAAGGCAACCGAACAGGTCAGGAGAAATCCTACACCACCGTTGCGTTCTGACTTGCTGAAGGGCGATCGTGACTGAGAGTTGAAGCACGTGCACGAGCCTCACTTACCTTTTTGTGTCCACCTACAAGTCTAGTGTGAATTATATTGTGATGTAGTTCCATTATGGTTGCAGTTGGGTCAATGACATGACACTTTATTTATTCATTTCTATTTATTTACCGTATCTTAATATAATTAAAAATTCATAAAATGGAATTCGTTTGAATACACATCTTCTATGATGAACATGTTTTTAACTAATGAATTAAAATTTTGATATTTTTAGAGGCATAAAGTCAAAAATGTCAAGAAAATTAGAAAAAATCTTGAAATAAAAAAACTTAGGCTAAATGCTAATTTGATGTAAATCATGGGCAAAAATTAGTGGTTAAACTGATCGTAGTTGATCCGTGATCCGTACGGACCAAGCCCCACGGTTCGGCACAAATGTGATCCGCGGATTAATTGCAAAATTTAACCATAATAGAGAATAAGTTTATCATTTGTTCATATTTACACAAGCAAGCGAATTTTAAACAATTCCAGAGAGAAAAGGCGAAAGGGAACTCGATTCGTTACTCGAGCGCTGTTCTCTACATGCACAGCCGCACACACATGAAGCACGCACACGCGTTAAAGACGGCGCGTGAACACTGACTTGAATCCTCTTCTGAATCCTCTGAACAGACACATACTCATAAAATTATGACAAAATACCCATCTCGACAATCATTCAGGTAAACGCAGTCAGTTATGTCTCAAGTGAATGAAAACAGCTGAGAAAGAAATCGTATGTGATGTGTATTTATAGGACATCGGCCTATAAATACTGCTGCTGTCATTAATGATCATCAAACAACAAAACAGCTGTGATAAAAATCTATATTTAATTTATACAGTGAACACTATGCAGTGTTATTTTCCCTAATTATTGCATTTCTGTATTTGAATACTACTAACCTTATTTTATTTGTAACATATTCTGTTGTATTTATCTATGCTTGTAATTTGTGTATTTGTTCTTATTTTTACAGGCTGTTCTCGTCTCTTTAATTATGTTTAAACTTTCTTAGTTAATCTAGTAGTATTTGCTGTGGTATCAAAGAAGTACTTCGCAAGTTAAATTGAAATATTTAGCTTTTCTTGCTGATCCGAAAAATTATCCGATAAGGAGTCAAAAATAGCTCCCGCTCAAGCAGCTGGTCTAAGCGAGCTTTGATTTAACCTATTTATGTCTCCTTTAATGGCGTGTTATCTCATTTAATTTGCCTCACAATTTCCCAGGTCCATGACAGTAATTGCCGCTGTTATCGCCTGCTAATTATCCAGCTAGTTTTCTTAATGGTCTTACTTGAGACGTTAAATTATCATTTCTTATCAGGCCGGAGCTGGCACATCCACACTCACAGATGTACAGCAGAAGACTGTCATAAGATCGACACCTGATGCTGTTGCTTCCCAGCAGCAGAGTGGCCGCCAATGACCTCCAGAGTTTTTCTTACAAGCATGCATAATGAATTTGACTGACAGTTGACTGCTTCAATCAAGCCTGAAATGATCTAGAGCTTATCGACAGCAGAGTCACATGACCCATTGATTTGTATTGTGCTTGTCTAATGCTACTTATCGTGATTATTTTGGAGGCAAATAAAGACTGTGACACTAAACATGATTTTTACTGTCACAGGGTGATTGTAACCATCCTAATCCTTAGATATACATAAGAGGAGACAGAGATGAAAGCAGGTCACCGCTTTTCGCCAGTAATCACGCACGTTTCACTGTGTTGCTCATCCGTTTGACCCACATAGTGAGGCTGCTCGGCAGTACGACTGTTCCCCCTCCATTAAGCCCTTGGCACTTTGTTTTGTTATTGGATTATGGCTGAACTGCATGAGTCCGAGTACTTTTTTACTGCCTCGCTCCTGCTCCGGTGGCACCCCACCCTGCTATTTCTGGCCCTGTGTTTTCTTCCAGAGAAAGGTGCTTTGTAGCATCCGTGGCGGCGCAAGCTCAGGCAGGCTGCCTGCAGAATTCCTCACATGCCATAGTAACCTGCCAGCTTTGCTCCTCTTGCATTTTCGGTTTGCGTTAGATTGTGTTTGGTTTGTCTCCGTTGCGTCAGTGCCGAGCCATACTGTGAGAACAGCACATTTGGTCCTGTTCCAAAGCTATTTGGGTATACAGATGTGCACTCCAGGCTTCAGGTCACTGGCACGAAGGAGGACTTTGTTCTCCAGGTTTTTCACATATGGATTCCTGGCTTAGTTTACACATGGCTGAGTTGACCAATCGCACCATCGACAATTGCGCCAGGCATTTTACTGTAGAGACGCACGGCTATTACACACAATTATTCGGACTTCTTCAACCCAAACTAAACAGTGTATAATGTGGTTTATTATCTCAAAGCTCAAGAAGTTTGTCAATTATGAGGCTTGTATGTGAACATTAACCCTGACTTGTCTTGTTTTCTCTCCCTCTTTATCTCCTAGCAGATCTGGAGATGTCGGCAGACTCATTTGGAGCAGGCGGCAGCGATGCCCAGCAGAGCCTACAGTCCTTTTGGCCCAGAGTGATGGAAGAAATCAGGAATCTTACCGTGGTACGGGTTTCTCCTAGCTTTCTATCTGCTTTCTCACTTGGATACAATATAAACACTGCCTTTTTCAAAACAAACTCCAAAAAGTCTTTAATAGAAAATTGTAGTCAACAATGTAGTATCTCAACAAGAGTCTACCACTGTTCATTAATGGGAGTTCTCCTCTAATGCACTCTCGCACTGTTTCAGAAGGATTTCCGTGTGCAAGATCTTCCTCTTGCTCGCATCAAGAAAATTATGAAACTGGATGAGGATGTGAAGGTAAGAGCAGCTGTGCTGAATCAACACAATCACTCTAAGCAGATGGCAGCGCACTTCCTCTCTTTGATTCTTGAGAAAGCAGCAACCCAGCGGTTGTCGACTGTACATCGAGTGGCCAGTTGCGTCAATAATTGGTGGAGTTTGCTATGGCAAGCTTCACTATTACTATTACTCCTACTTAGAGTTAGTTTTTTTTTTCAAATCCTTACCCATAAGTATTGAAGTTATGCATGTTCTACACCATTTGTTCTGTAGACATCAATCAAATCGTGGCTTGAGGATAAGTATGATGCATCTTAAGTGATCTTACTCACCTGTCAAAATAAGACAAAGCCAAAAAAATCCCATAGATTTTGATGTAGGGCGCAGAGCCATTTCTAGGGGCAGTATGGGATGGTGATGTACCAGAATTTCTACAACTAAAAGTAACAAAAAGAATGTTATTGTTAGTTTCATCCTGAACAGTTAGCACACCTCTGATGATGCATTTTGACTGTAGCTGCTTTTCCATCACCCTTCAAATTGCACAAATTGAAATTGAAAATACTCCCAGTGGAAACGCATTAATTTTTCAAAAACTCCCATATATCGCAAAAAAGGTTTTACACTCACATGAGCATTTTCAGGTCACCTGGCATACGTAAAAATCACAAGATACTATAACCTCTAAGAAACACCTCGTACGTAGCCGCTCTCAAGTATAAGGAGCTTTCCTTGCCATTAATGCTTGGATAGCCCCTTATTTACACTACACACATCTGAGGCACATTACGGCACTGATGAGGGCACTCTAGTCAATGCTTGTGTTTGTACAAGCCGTGTCGCAGCATGTTCCAGAAGTGGCTCTCAGCGCTGCTTCGCTAAAGATACACTCCTACATCTCCTCGATTAAAAATATTGATTAGTGTGGTGGCTGCGATTATACATAAACCTACCAACATCTGTCGCCATGACTTTTCACGAGAGGAAAAAATTATGTTTTAGTTGCATAACATCGGTTAATAGAAACGCTGTCATTTCGCAATTAAAAAAATAAATAAATAAAAAATCACAAACGTTTTGCTCATCTGTCATGGAAATTCAGTTTGTGTCAGCAACGATTTTGCGCACACAAAGTTGATAAGCTACTACAACAGGTAAACATGTCAGCAGTCTAGACATACATCACCATGACCAAAAATTATACTAGAGTAGCAATATGAAAAATATGAAATAATTATAGGCAACCGAAGAACTTTACCATGACTAATGTTAGTTTATGGCCTCTGTCGTTAGGACACGACACTCTGAACAGCATACCAAGTTCAGTTGCTTTTTTTTACCAGAATTTAGTTACCAAAACTTAAATTTTTGGTTTTGGTTTTTGGCTAAATAAAATCTATAATTTTGGCTTCAGTAAAAAAAATATATTTGTGTGTGTCACTACTTTGGGATCCTTTTGCTTAGTCCTAGAATGACCCAGAAGTCTCCTAGAAACCATCAGAGCATGCTAGCAACCGTATATCGACATGCTAGCATTAGCAACCTTCCACTTCACCCTAGCAAAGATATTTTTTTCAGCACGTACAAATTAAATGATCCAAATATGATTCACAAACTGCCATTAATGACAGCATGATTATAAAGTTTGGGTTTTCTAGTTGATTTCTAAGGCTTCAAATCAAAATGGAATGTTTTGTGGTCTTCTCCAAATGAAAAGCTAATATTTTCAGTGGCTTCAGCTGCGGTGTGGTTTGATTTGAATCACTACAAAAACAGTAATCTGTTATTTTCTGAGCATTGTGAATAGAGAAACTATCAGGTCCAAATGAGTCATCTGGCCATTTTCTGTGAAACAGCCTGATATTGGGTAGTGTGTAAACATTGAATAGACATTTTCCGAGAACTAAAAAGAACTTCTCTCATAACAACCTCAGTTCAATGTATCACCAATATTTACTCTATTTGCTAGATCCTTTAACAAAGCAACATGCATATAAACAAACTTTCAAGTATAAATAAGAACATGGCATCAGCACTGCCGAAAGAGCTAGAGGTAATTTCAAGAGTGCTGTGAGCCAAGTATTAAGTGGCAGTAACACACACTAATGCCCTTGTAGTGCAGTTTCATAGAGTGAGATAAATAAAACGACTAGACATAAGGTTTGGTGTATTTGCTTGATGGTTTAACCCTTTATAATGAGCTGGATGAACCCTAAAGCAGACAGATATCTCCTCCTTTCTTTTGTGCTACCAAGATATTGTGATGTTGTAGATGCCACAGGACATGATCTTCCCACACAGCCTTAGCCGCGTGGGAAGCAGGCATCAGGTCAGAGTGTTGTCCAGACGCTTAAAATAGCCTACAGCTTAGAGTGGGAAGAGAGAAAAGCCAAGGCAATTAAGAGCTCAGGACCAGTGGCATAGGCAAGACCCTGGGTCAGGTCTTGACGTAGCCTCTTAGGCCACTACGTATGTCCATCTGATGGCAGGCCAAAACATGATGGGCATGGGCGTAGTGAGTGTCCGGATATGATTGTATGTTGTCCATTTATTTCCCCTGTATTCATTTGCTTTGGTAATCCTCCATAGATGATCAGTGCCGAGGCACCGGTGCTGTTTGCCAAAGCGGCACAGATCTTCATCACAGAGCTCACTCTCAGAGCCTGGATTCACACTGAGGACAACAAGCGGCGCACACTACAGGTCAGTCATGTTCATTCCCGACTTCCCTTTGACCCCTCGCCCTAGCCAGCTGAGATAAACCAGTCTCCTCTGTGACAAAATCATCTTTTTTGTGTTTGTTCCTGTTTTTTTGGACAGAGATGGTAAAGGAGACCGGAAACGATAGAGAAAAGATGGTGGGTGGGATCAGGAAATAACCCTGAGCTGGTTTTAAATTGGGGTCACCTCCACAAAAGTGCCACCCTGTATTTCAGAGCACGTCCCGCTAAACCATGTGTCCAGTGATCTTCATATGTATAGTAGTTCAGTCTCAATTTAAAATGAGCTTTGGTTTATTTCCTTATTCCACCCACCATATGTTTCTTGACTCCACCATCTCTGTCCAAAAAATAATAATTTTGCCTTATTTTCAGTGAATTTGATGGTAAAGAGTTACATTTGTAGATCACTTGTCAATGTTTAGTACTTTCAAATAGTTTCAAACATATTTGGAGTATAATGTTAAGGTGCAGTCACATTTACTGTTGTTTGGTGAAATTTCATAGGTGAAATCAACCCTGTGAGAAAACTTTATTATTCAGTTAACTCTTTTGAAGAGATTTTTAACAGAGTTAAGACAAATACGGTTTTAGAGTTTTTAGTGAAAGTAAATTGTTAAAACCTGATATAATTTAGCTATACATTTTTCTCACCGTGAGAATAGCCACAGAAGCTAGCATGGCGTTATTTATATATATATATATATATATATATATATATATATATATAA